GAATTTTCAAGGCATGCGAACTCGCTGAACAACAAGGATTACGTAACATTAACATTCTTTCTGATTCTCTATCTGTTCTTTCATGCCTCTCAAGACCGATGGACGTTCTTTTAACATCAAGGATAATTACTACTGCAAACAGCTAAAATCTAAAATAAAACGGTTGGAAAGATCAGGCGCTAAAATTAAGCTGACATGGATAAAAGCTCACACTGGACTGTTACCCAACGAAAAAGTAGATGTGTTAGCTAAGGAGGCTTGCTATAACGGACAAGAAATAGTGAACTACATAGGAATGTTAGATGGCGCAGCGATATGTCGACAAAATCTGCTCCGAAAATGGAAAATCCGATGGAGCCATTTCAGCAACAACCACCGCACACAATACACCCTAATCCATCCTTCTATTCCTAGGAAATTTTGGCACGACAACTCCATTTTCTCAAGAAGCGAAATAGTAACAATTGGCCGACTGAAATTCGGCCATGCTTGCTATCCATATCATTTACATAGGATTGGAGTCTTGGACTCGAACTTATGCGACGATTATCAAGTAATAAGTGACTTAAATCACATTTTCTTTGCCTGTAACAAATACACAAACCAAAGACAAAAGCTGTATAGCGACCTTGGTAAAGAGGGCATTTTCCCACCTTACAATATAGTGCGCATTTTGCACTTAGCAGTACAAAGTGTGACTATTTGCACGGCCCTTATGAATTTTATCAAATCAAGTCAGCTCACATTTTAGATAGGTTAGATTTCGTTTCATTTTCGCCTATTGGCGACTGTTGAGTATCTGTACATTTTGAACAAGTCCGAGGTCTACCTGTTCTGTCCGTTAGCCACCCCGAGAGACCCCTGGGTGTGAAGAGTACACCCTATTCCACTCCTTTGTGGTCCCTCAAATCATTTTGTACAGGTTTAGACTAGGTCCAAAGAAACACATGAGCTGCTGGCTAATGAACTTAAGTTTAAGGGCCATTAAAAAAAAAAAAAAAAAAAAAAAAAAAAAAAAAAAAAAACAATTCTGTACAATTCTTCTCAACCGATCTTCATTTTCAGTCTGCAATTGTTTTCTTACAAATTGTGCTATACTATTGTTGTACTTTTGCACTTTTTATTGACTTTTGTAATATTGCTTCTTAAGAAAATTTCTCGAAAATAAGCCTATATGGGAAGTAACGATAATGACAACATGCAATTTGTCGTTGCAACTTTTTTACTTTTTATATCATATGTTTACCAGTTTCGTTCAAGCAGAAAAGACAACGGTGTCGCATCAAGTGACGATTGTACCGTACTTACTCGGGAGGTTAAGGAAAAGTCGCGTATACTGTTGATATGGTATCTGTAATAAGATTACGAGCATGTTGTGAGAGTTATATTCAGAAGGTTTACGTTTGCGACACGAGCGAGCTTGCTTGCGAGTGGAGCAATTGATCCTGGGTGAATAAGGGTTATTTCTGTTTTATACTCGTATATGGCGTTATACAGTTATCATTTCCAGTGTCTCAGATGGTTGCATGGATTGCGAAAACTGTGAATTTTATTCTGTTAATTAAGGGCTAGTCTTAGTTCTTTCCATTCTGGCGATTTAGAATGGTGTTATAGGTTTTGGCCCGTTGCCCAAAAAAATGTTAATAGAATGGTATGTTTATTTTGCATTGAAATAGAATAAAAATACTACATTTGTGTCAAAAACCTGTGTTTCTATCATTTTTGCTACTGACATGTACAAAAAACCGCAGGAACCGAAATAAAATATACCCGATTAGTTAACAAAGTCACATTCCGCAAAAGAAAAACAATACTATCAAACAGTATTGTTAGTTTAGGTACTGGGTTACGATTGTTTTATTATTCAAAATGCATTTAGAAAGCAATTAAACCTTCAATATAATTGGCGTATATTGAAAATTTTAAATAAGTAAACAATTTAGTGAAATGCATGACGACACACCACTGTAATTAAATAAATTATCATGAATCGAGAGTATAATCTTCAAAAATATTTTGTATTACGGAAAATTCAAACGTTCATCACGTCTAAACAATCACCCGGTACAATATATGTCTAATAACTTACCACGTGTTCGCAAAATCTCCCTTTTGATTAAAGCGTAGGGTGTGGGGGGGGGGGGGTGTCCTCGGGGGTGTCTCAAACTCTATGTCTCGGATGTATTGTGCGAACCTAAAAAGTGCAAAGTCTGACCATCTCAAATATGAAAGGAGGGTTTTGGGAAATTGAATTATGACGCCATCCCAGAATATCAGAATTATTATTTTTGTTGGAAATCTCCTTTTTTCTTAACTTGCCTTGCCCCAAAAATACGGAGCGATCATTAATCATTGCCTGTACCGAGCCTGTGTCGGTCTTATGAAACATTACATTTGCCGCAAAACACATGATACCGTAGCGTTACTAAGCATAACCTTAAAATGTTTATTAGAAGCAATCATGTAAATAACATTTATTAGTTTCCAAATTGTTTGAAATTACATAGCAAACATTGTTTTGTAACTGAAACGTGATTTACTTTCTTCTACAAATTGAATAAACCCATAAAGAGCGTCTAAAAAAGCGGCAGAGCACCTCGGTGTGACCCCACGGAGTCATTGGCCCATTTGACCCATTTTCAATAGACTTGTTACATGTGGCATATAGGTCAACTGTGCAAAGTTTTAACCAAATCGGTCCAAGCGTTTGACAGTTATCGTGTTCACGGACAGAGGGACACCATGGACTCCCTTATAAAGCTTACACGCTTTGCTCGGCCGCTTAATAATGAGCCACAGTTGCGAATTACACTAAATTAATCAAATATAGCAAACGAGCTCCTGGGTATGGCTATAGCATGTGCAAAACCGACTTTTAAACCTGATGTTAGTTTTGCTTTTATTTAAAGTGTATATGTATGAAAGTTCATTTAATTGCTTGCATAAATAAGAAAGTTGGCACTGCGCATGTAGTCCAGTCAAATTAGCGCAATTTTGGACAAATAAAAACATTAATTGGTAAAGATCTGAATTTTGGTATACACATTTATTGGGACTTTCTATTGAACATATTAAAAGTCCCTGTCAAAATCTGTTGCGCTCGAGACGCCATCTTGGAAAAACGGTACACTTTTCCAGTTTTTTTCCCATGTCTCGGCAATTATTACTGACACGAAGAAATAGTTTACATGAAAAATATAGTTTACTAAATTCCCTATAAAAAAGAGTATTTACATTTTTTTTGTATCTCCAGTACTTTAGCTGTAATCTCACGTTGAATACGTCAGAACGCGTTTAGGCCCCGTATCGTAATATTATAGGAGGCCGTCTTTTTTATGACTACATCGATAGCTGTAATAGAGTCAAAAAATGAACAGAATCGTCGTGCGATAAAGCATTCTACCAATGACATAATGTTTGATGATACATCATGTTTTTTTCAAAAAGGTAAGCGAAAATGTGTAAAAGAGTTGGAGCAACGAAATGATTTCTGAAGCTGAAGAACGCCCTTATCTGCATAAGTATAACGTGCCTGCTAGTGAGAGATATTAAAACCGACATCGTTATCAGACCTTCAGAATGACCTTGACCCTGTTCGGACACTCAGTGCTCACATTGAAGATGAAAGTTCTATTGAGAGAGAGTTTTATGAGAAACCTTACTAAACGTGTCTCATACCAAGCTTGAGTGCGACGACTTCGCATATATAAGAAATACTGGTAGAATTTTTAATGATTTGTAAAAAGTTGTAAAAAAATATCTGCGCGACTGTTTCGAGAGCTCAGGATACTTGATTCCCTATTCGATGTCCGATTATAGCTAAAGTATTGGGCATACAGAAAAATGTTAATATGCTTTTTTATGGGCAATTTAATAAACTATATTTTTTATCTGAACTATTTTTCCGTATCAATAATTGTTGCCGATATATAGGCAAGAAACTGAAAAAGTGCTCCTTTTTTTCAGAATGGCGCCTCGAGCGCAACAGATTTTGACGGGGACTTTTAGTATGTCCAATGGGGAACACTAATGAACATGTGTACCAAAATTTCAGATCTTTACCGATTAATGTTTTTATTTTTTCTTATTTGATTGGACTAATGCGCAAACCCAAATTTTTAAACTGGCGTTATATTTGCTTTTATTCCAAGTGGCTATGTATCAAATTTCATTTAATTACCCCCATAAATAAGAAAGTTTGCAATCCGGTTTATAAATGGTCGAGATGCGCAAAGGGCACTGTGAATGCTGATCGATTAGTCTCAACGTTTGGAATTGTGTTTTATATGGCTAAAGCTGTGCGCATATGGAATTTTATGCAATTCGGTTCATAACTCACGGAGGTGTCAAAAGGGCCTACTTTATTTTTTGATCTACACTACATTGCCAATTCACGAACTCCGCCCTACAAATTTGATAAAGAATCCACTTGCAAAATTTCATCGTAATCGGTCCATTCGTTTATGAGTTATCGTGGTAATGGACAGACGGACAGACATTACAAAATTATAAACTCGCTAGGAGCTCGTTAATAAATGTTCGAAGTGGACACCCCAGTGAAAGAGACACAAATCCACGCTATTCTTCATGTTTTCGCTCGTGTTTCGAAAACTGCACGACGTTGCCGAAGTGTTATGTTATGAACAGTCGCTTCTATAGCTACACGTAATCCTTCAATGGTGTGTAAACGATTTTTATAAATAACGTTTTTTAGATGCCCACATAAAAAGGAATTTTCAAAGTCGGGATGATTATGTTCTTGTATCACGGTCACTTGGTACTGGTAAAAATGCAACAGGGTCCGTATGACAAACAAGTTTGTTGGGATAGCTGTCGCAGTGGTTTTTGCGGGCCTTGTTCAAGCAGAGTACGCACATCCTCTGCTGCCGCCTCGTTAGCAACTGTTGGGCGACCAGGGGATTTTCCACAAGCAACACTTCTCGTATCGTCAAATCTCTTAACTATAGGAAGAATGTGGCGGCGTAAGTTCTCGTAATCAACGATATGTTCAGGATATGCTTCTCGAAATTCTTCCATGCAGAGGCGAGTCGAATACGTCCAAACCCCGTTTTCGTGTTTACTTCCATTACAGAAATAGGACTGCAAAAGCAGATTATTTTTTTCCAAAGTAAGTGGCATGTGGCAGTTGCAGAATAGTACAATCTAAAACGTTAAATGGTTGTGGAATCAAACGGGAGGTGACTGGAGGATTAGATTTAGAGGTTATGTTTAGTATTGGTTCAGCATCACATGCGTTGCGGCAAATGGTTACTAAAGTCATGTTTCATAAGAACGGCACAGGCAATGATTAATGATCACAGTGTATATACCTTTAAAAATGAATGCTTCGAAAATCACTTACCATGATACAATCAGAGTACAAAATCCTTGCATGAAAAATAATTAAATCTTCACGTCACACGAACAAGGGTTGTTTTGAATTTACCCTAGTAATGTTATTTTCAAAGCAGAAATTTTTAAAGTATTGTTGGGACGTTCAGGCTTGTATCTTTTTAACCAAATCAAATATCGCAAACTTCTTTTAAACAATTCAAAACGTTGTTCAAAAGAAGGAAGGCTTTCTAAATCAAATAATTTGGGATGTTCTTGGGAAAAATTTGATGACGTCATAATTAAGTTTTCCAAAATTCTCACGAACAAAATATCATTTTGGCGCCAAATGGACTTTATCTCCTGTTAGACTCAATTTTTATTTCCATTTTATTTTTGCATGACACATGCGAGACATTGTAAAATGATATAGCACAGTGTAATACTCGTAATACTTAATGAGATCCAGAGGGAAGAAAAATCAAAATTTTTAAAATTTTAACCGGATCGCATCTATTCAAATGCAACGTGTTGTCTCATGACAACGACGCGAACGAACTCATTCGATTCCATTGTCTTTAGTGAGTCTTTAAGATAAGTTGCGCATCTTTAAGCTAGTGTGTTTTACTTTACTTGATACCACATATTAACACGTGGTGATGACAGTGTCAAATGTGGGAAAAAAGGAATAAATGGATTAGTAAAATCTAGTATTGTGAGAAAAGATGAGCAAGTAGACAGTTTTAGGAGGAAAGAGAGCGGCCTGTGTTTTTTTTACAGATACAACAGTGGCTCAATAACCCCTTACCGCCCACCCAATGGGGTTGGGCCTAAGGAGAAGACGGGGTACTATTCCCAGTAACCACAAATGGTCCAGTGGCACCCTAGGCGATACTTACCGCAATATTTTGCCGATGTACAACTGGGTACTGAGGAAGGTGTGGCTGCCGCAAGGCAGGCATTGCTTGCTCCGTCGCTTGCGGCAATTGCCTTGGCATGTGCACGAATGTAGCGCCGAACGATGCCATCGATGACGACGACGACGATGACGATTTTGACTCCTGCCCACACAATCTCGCCTATTTCATCATTCATTCAAGTATCATCATGACTTATATACTGTGCTAGTGCTATATCATTTTGTAGATAATTGTATGCCGTTTAATTCTCTAGAGCAAAATTTTTAACTAGGAGCAACCGTTTTTAAATTATTCATGAAAAACCTCGCGAAAAACTAAAAAAAGGGTTCTTTAACCCCCCCCCCCCCTACTTTTAGTATGTTGTTCAAGATACCTTCCCCTACATCTGTGCCAAAATTGGCTTCTACACGCTTTTTTTTCCGCTATTGCCGTGTGTTCATTTTACCAAAAAGGTTAATCCGACGTATTTTCAAGCTCCAGTTTAATCAATCTTGTCGGGGCACCTTCCGCAACAGTCGGATACTAACGTTCACATCATTATACATATACAAAATCTTGCTTTATATTCATACTTTTAGACGTAAATTTAAAAGAAACCGCGATAATCATGACTACCTTACCAGAAAAGGACACCATATGTATTTACCAAGATGTCAACACACTAAATTTAAAAAATCAGTGCATTACGCAGGATGTTACCTCTACAACGCGCTGACAGCTGATATAAAACAGATTCAGGACTCAAAACTTTTCAAAAAGACGCTGAAAGATTACCTCGTTTCAAAATGCTGCTACACAATTGAGGAGTTTCTTCTTCTTTCAGAAACGTAGTATTTGTTGTAATGAGTTAATTTCTAAATTGTTGTTGGTCTATCTACGTCTCATTCGTGTTTTATCTATTATTTTATATATACTATATGTATTTGTACTGACTTGCCTCATCTATTGTTAAATAGCGAAAAAGGTTAAAATATATTATTATTATTATTATTATTTTTCCTTCGTTGCCTGGACTAAGTATGACTACATTGAAGCATGCTGTTTCCAAATTTTCTGATTTTTAATAACATAATAAGTATCTATTATTTTTCATATATCATTCAATTTTGAATTGCTTTGGGGTGCTTATTTGTATTTTTCTCTTGGTTACATTTATTAACAAAAATGTTTCCCTGAAAGTTCTAACTTTCTTGTCTGCTATTTTTATATGGCCACGTTTCGGTTAAAACGGGCCCCAAGCAATATGTTTTTTACAAATACGGCACAAAATCTCTACCACGTGGATGCAATATACTTATGTTTATTACGGTATTGCGCATCAGGTGAATGCTTTACATACTACGTAAGCAAGAAATTTATTTTAGATCTGTTAATATAAACTTTCATGGCCTTCTTTTCAAGATTTGCTGGCGACTTACGCTTGTGATTTTTGACAATTTTTTAATCGCGTGGGCTATTTTTGTATTTGAATTTTTCTTTGTGCGAAATCAGATATTTCCACTTGCGCTCCATCGATGTTTGAGCAACGGACTAACATATTACTTGTATTGGTTTTGTCCTTCCTTACGTTTGCAACGTATTGTTCCCAGTAATGATACTAATTTAAATATTTATATAGCTTAGCATTGTTTTGCAACTAATTTATTAATCTATAAGGTCGCCCTAATGTTTACACTATCGAGGTAAGATGTGATAATAACATCTTTATTTTTAACCTTCAGTTATGTAATGACTTTATTTCAGTACACACGCAGGTATTTCGATATTTTTGTTCAATGAGGACGTAATCATAAATTGAATTTGTCTAACAACTGGAAATACTTTACAAAACAATATACAAGTAAAACTCTAAATTTCATTGCCCGAATTTTCCTAGTTTGTTGAAATCCCAGACATTAGGTAAGCTGGAAATTGGACGGCAGTGTCTTGATGCCGTAAGAAATCTCCGCGAATCCAAGTGGATTTTCACGTTATAAATTTGCTTTACAGTAGTGTTGGTTTTAGTGCATTTCCACAAAAATAAACAAAAGGCGCTATTGTGGCGACTTTTGCGTCTGCCAGGCCGTGTCACTATCACATCTTCATCTTTACGGGGCTATCGTCCTACTTTTTAGCGCATTTTTTAAGAATTAAAAAAAAAAATGTACTATTGTATGCGCTTTGTCCGTCCGCCCGGAACCATTTCTACCGTTTTGAACTACTTCTAGAGGAATGGTCCTAGAGTCCTGGAATTTTTTGCAGTAGGTAGCCTATACCTTGAAGGTGTGCCAGCCGGCCATCAAATTTCGCTGTCTAAAAGGGAGGCCCCCCACGAATTATTTCCTGAGATGCTGTTTTTGAAAGTAAAACGTGCATAACTTTTACATATGACAACCAATTGGTCTCATATTTTGCATACGCATGCCTTTAGTGGTGCCAAGTTAAACTTTAGGAAATGTGGGGGGGGGGGTAACACATGTTCTACCCTTCATGATATTCTAATGGGGGTGGTAAAAATTAATTTTATCTCTCATTTATTTATTTTAATGAGTTGTTCTTTTTTTTAATAAATGGGTTAAAATACTGTCTTACTTAAAACTCAATAAATGTCATTATTATTATGGTCGGTGTATCTTGTGAGAACTCAGGTCTAGCCTGGTTAACTAATCGCACGGATTAAAATCAAGTAACGATTAGTGTCTGTGTCTGGTGAAGTTATGTAGGGTCCTAAATAAAAAAATAAAAAAAATAAATAAATAAAATAAAAATTCACACACTCACATTGGAAATCTATAGATAGTATGTAATTCATACTTACCAACATAGCTATTGATGGGCACAATAGCCAACGCTTATTATTATTATTATTATTATTATTCTAAAGAAAAATAAAAAATAAAAAATAAAATAAATATTCGCACACTCACATTGGAAATCTAGGGATAGTATGTAATTCATACTTACCAACATAGCTATTAATGGCCACAATAGTCAACGCTATCAGGAAAGAAGAAAACAAAACAAAAATATTATAATAATTCCTGTACTTTTATTAAATAGAGTTTATTGTGTAAGTGTTTCTTTGGCTTTGCGTTTGGGTTGTATACGAGTGGGTTGTGATAACGTGGTGTGTTTATGTGAAGAAGGAGTTTTGTGTTTTTTAACTGTGCTAGGACGTGTAACTTTATTCAGTGGACCTGTCTTTGTGGTACATGTTGCCTTACTTGTATTTATGGTGTTTCTTTGTTCTTGAGGTTGTATTTGTGTTGTTGCTTGGGTTATTGATGGAGATATTACAGTATTTTGTGAGCTAGTGGTGCTGTTTAGGTTTTTGCGTTTGGGTTGAATACGAGTGGGTTGTGATAACGTGGTGTGTTTCTGAGAAGAAAGAGTATTGTGTTTTTTAGCTGTGCTAGGCCGTGTAACTTTATTGGGTGAGGGCGTCTTTGTAGTACATGTTGAAGGTTTAAAAAAATGCGCTTTATCTGCACAAGAGTTGTTCACAATTTATACTTGTTTAATGCTGTTGTGAATTGTGGCAACTGACGGAATTTGCTTATCCGAGATATTTAGCAGCAAATAAATCCTGTGATTTTTGAAATACATCTGTAACATTTCCATTTCTTTCATCTTCATATATTGAACATAGGAGATTTGTATGTTCAGAGTTAAAATTTACGCACTGTATGTAATTTACATGAGCAACACTAAACTATCGTTTTCATTCCTACATTGTGCCATATCGACATCATTACGAAAAGTTTAAATAGAGAGCCTCTACTATAATTATCTTTACAGTTACAGGTAGTAGTTTAGTTTATGAAATGAAACGATCCATTGATTTTAAAGGAACTTGACAACATTGAGTAGTATGGTATAACCTTAAAACTTACTGTAGAAAGTTGTGCTTCATTGGTACACAATTGTGTTGATGAACAAAAATGAAAATCCCTAAATGTAGGGGTTGGTTTCTTAAAAGCGAACACTTTATTGCACAGCGTTGAATCTCTATATTTAGTACTCTGTGGTAAAACGCAACCTTTGTTACCTTGATCTTTAAAATGTCAATTTTGAAAACTAGGGAGTGATATTTAAGTATAGGGAAGAATGAATGAATAGTTCTCAAAATAATTTGCTTTGAGTATTATTTTGAAATAATTTTTTGGTTTGGTTTTAGGATATCTGTGACCAGTGAATGTTCAGACGGACAAACGGCACGGATTACTTCAAACTTACAACCTACAAGTAGTATGGCTGTAAGTCGTGTACCAAGTCCACCTCCTCAAGAAGTTAACACTCCAGTTGCGGAAAATTGGTGTTACACACAGGTACGTTTCAAATCTAAAGATTTAGTTTTACAAAATCGAGTTTTCTTATTTTCTATTAAAAATGGTTGGTGTTGATTGTATTTCATTATTTATTGATTATTCATCTTTGGCAAATATCTTAAATTTTTGTTGTGCATGTATATTTTGAACGCGAGATGTAAAGTGATCGCCACAGCTTTTGTGTTTCATTAGTTATTAAAACATGTTTTTTTAATTGTTATTATGACGGTATAGTGCAATAATAAAAATCTCATAAAATCCTACCTTCTTTCTTCTGTACCAGGATATGCATGGAACCGCCTGCATTTGTTGCACATACTGGAAAATAATATACAGGTTTCTTCTCTGTAATGTTTTGCATATTTTTTATGTATCCAAACTACAGTTTTCCTACAGAAATTTCATTGTACGATGGCTTTCAGTGTTTTAACATTTAGCGTTCATGTACAAACGGCGATGGTACTAAAATGTCACTTATCAACTAATGTTTGTTTCAGGTGAAAGTGGTGAAGTTTAGTTATATGTGGACGATAAATAATTTTAGTTTTTGCCGGGAAGAAATGGGCGAAGTATTAAAGTCTTCAACTTTTTCCGCTGGTGCGAATGATAAACTTAAATGGTAAGTTGTTAAAATACACGTTGTATTTATATCAAATGAAAGTCGGTTTAATTTATGTTTTTAAATAATAATTGACTGCCAGGGCACTAACCCTGTTTTGGAAAGCAACTATCGATGTCAAACCTTCCAGAATCTATTTCTACAAGTTTGTGGTTCAGCGTTAAAAGAAACTATTCCCCCTGATCTTGTTTTTATTTTTTCGTGTTACAGTTCAATTTTTTTAGCTTCATAATAATCAAACCATAAAACTTCATTGTGTTTCCATCAACACACAGTTTTATTTTGGAAATCTCTCATGGCATTCTAATTAAACTTTTTCATAAAAGAAATTGTTTTCTAACAATGCTGAAGATAAAAGATAAAAGCGAGCCACTTTGTAGTCTAAAAATACGTGTTGTTAACGTAATACTGGAAATACTGAATACTGGAAATAGCAGTCAGGACATCCTTATTTCAAATAGACACAGAATTGGAAAATTTGTTGATTTATCATTTTAATGTTAGTTCCTTATTGTAAATTTAGTCGGTAATTGTTTAATTCATTTAATTCTATTGGCTGTCTTTAGTTTGTGTGATAAATTGAAAACGGATAACTTAGCAATTAATCGAAATTTTTACGCGGATTTCAAGTTATATCTGGTCAGGGGTTGATAAAAAGTTGTTATTGGGCAAGAATTAATTGGTTTTTCGACAAACAACGTCACGTGCGAGATAAGCGATGCAGGTGTTTGATCAGTTCTGTTGATGTAGAGGAATGTCCAGTGTAGTCGGGAAGTTTTTGTTTAAATAGGAAGAATGAAGAATGTAAACGAGGCTATGTCGGGTTATTTTCAAAGAGAGCGTATGAGCTAATTTTGGTCCCGGTAGTTCAGCTGGCTCTACAATTTTAAAAATAAAAAACGTGATCGTCCTCATGATAGTAAATAATGCGGAAACAAGTTTAATGTTGTGCAAGAATTTTGCAAAACCAGAAAGGGTAGACCCCAAAAAGAAAATTAAAGAAGAAATTTCACCACTTTTTTTAGGGTGGCTCCCAAACGAAACACCTTGGACCCTCGTTATTTGGAAAAAGTGCTTGTTTTGATCGTCTTTACAATCCAATTTTTAGACACACTGACACTGTTTACTACTACTGTAACACCCTGTATAGTAAAATGTATGTAATTATTCTGCTACAATTAACTTGTTGATCATTGTATAACAAAATAGATCTATCTTATTTTGTAATTATGGTTGAACGATACACTAGTACATAATGGTACCTACCTAAAAAAAAACTGGTGGCAATGTTACTAGCCAAACGATCTTTGATATAAAATTGACCAATAATTATCTTAGTAATCAATCAAATGTGCGATATGTAATATGTAAACAAGGATACAAGGTCCTGTTTTTTTCTTTATTATTACAGTCGCTATCCTTAGGAGCACAGCAATAACACAATAACGCCTTCTCAGAATAGACTTCTCAGAATAGAAAGGGCAATGTTGCAAAAATTTCAGATATTTTAGGAAGTCTGTGGGTGTATGAACTAAGTAATTAAACAGTAGAGTAGCAACATCTAGTAAATTTGATTTGAATTTACAAAATTCACTGCTAAGGTTTTACGTATTACTATCCTGCATTCATTATAGGAAGGTAGTAGATGGCGCTGTGTATGAAGATAAGCACACACAGGAGAAATATAAAATAGCATCAAATTATTGTAAAGTAGAAATATCACGCACGACAAACAAAAATAAAACAACTCCGGAAATTCTTCAAAAGTGTTAATTAAAGAAGACGTGTCTTCTTTTGACCACACACGCTTTCCCTCCATGTAGCACAGCACTTGCACACCAACTGTCAAAGATTGAAATAAACGTCAACTTCCTGTCAAAACTTGTTTAGACGTGCAAGATTTTATTGCAGCAATTATACTCCGTTCAATAGTTATTGTCCCAGTAGTAGGCCATGTTAGGGTGATGTAATCTTCGACCATATAAACCTGGACTGCTAGCGTCGTATAATATTTAATATAAAACTTGAAGCCAACATCTGCAGCGCCATCACTGGGTATGACTAAAATGAGAACTAAATCTGAGGCGCTAAATATGAAATTTGCAAGGACAAGTATATCCATACAAAATATTTATACGATAACTGTTTAACTTTATACCTGACGAATTAATTTATATAATAAATAAATGTGAAATAGATATAATTTTTGGATAATGATACCGATAGTTTGTAGAATAAGCTTTTATTTAACAAATGTACATGTTTATTGCAGCGTCTAACCAATTTCCAAGATAACGTGTATAACATGATGGTGAGGGTGTCACACAACCATTAAGATCCATATTTTGATGATCAGGGAAAGTGTATACATTTTCACCTACTCTCATTTCTTCAACTTGTTCTTGGTCTATCGACTATCGACATTTTCAATTGATGAATTTGGGAAAATTGAAGGAACCGAATTAGCCTTTTACTTAGCGAAAAACGTTTCTGTTTTAATGTCCTTGTTTTTAAGGTTGTAAACTGCATCACATTTTTTTACAAACAACTTCAGCGTCTCATTTTTAATTAATTATATAAAAGTAACACAACTAACTAACAAAATTACATAAAATCACTATAAAACACCCTAATTAAATCTCGTAACAGTGACGTGTGTCAAATTTCGTTTCACAAAACGCACAACTGCCCTGTGATGGCGCTGTAGATGTTGGCTTCATAAATTTGACTTTGCTAGCAATCCAGTTATTTTTTCATCCAAGACTAGACATAGGGTTGCCACATTGAATGTGTTGAATTCCGGGACCCCATCCCTCTGTGAACCAACATTATGACTGGGTAAAAATATACCACATTCCAAAAATTTAATGGATACATTGACTGTAATTTTCATAATTTTGGCTAATAAATTGTATCATAGATTCCTACAGTAAACGAGTACTAAAGTAGGTACAAATAGACCGGTATCTTGTCTAAGCGACCGACGTGCGCGGGCAACTATTAAGCATTCAACGCACGCAGGCGCCAATGAAAGCAAAAAGACGCATGGTTTCACTGTCAGGGTTGGGGCAGGATCGAACGTGAAAACAAATTTGGAAAATTTCACGTGGGAAGTCCCAGATTATAGAATGGGTCAGCTGAGTCGCTAAATGGACTACTGGGAGTACCAGACTCTAGCGCCGGATTACCGAGCGCCTACTGTACCCTCCTCCGCAAATCCGCTCTTATGGATATAAGGAATTCTAACCGATCACGATGAGGAAGAGTATGGTTGACAGAAATTAATTCCTTTCATTGAGATCTTTCATTAGAGTACCATGAAGAATAAAGCCAGTGCCGCCCCCCCTCTTCTTCCATTTTGATAATGGGTAAAAGAGAGGGGCGGTAGTTGGAAGAAATCAGTTTCTTTTGGTGAGACTTATAGAATACCATGAAAGATAAAAATCCATTTCCCCCCCCCCCCCCTTCTCCCCGCGAATCGCGGAAGACTGTTATCGTTTATAGAAATCAATTCGATACGACCTTTCAGTAGCCATGGAAGGTAGAGCGTACCCCCCAATTTTCAAACGTGTTACATGGCACCACTAGAGGTATACAAAAATATGTGACAAATTGGTTGTCTCATGTAAAAGTTATGCATGTTTTACTTTGAGAAACAGGATCTCGGGGGAATAATGAACGGGGATGGCCCCCCTTAAGACAACAAAATTTGAAAGCCATCTGCCACACCCTCAAGATATAGGCTCCAGGCCTCTAGAATAATTTTCCTAAAAGTAGTTCAAAACCGCAGAAGTGAGTGCGGATGGACGGACAGACAGACGAATAAAACGGAAACAGTAGCACATTTTTTTAGCCCATTTTTGAAAATGTCTAGCTGGCGGATTGTCCAGTTTCGGCATAAGAAAAAATCATTTTTGAAATTGTTCGCGGACCCGTGAGTTTGGGCGGGTCAACATAATTTTTGTAAAGGTTCCAAATGTTATTTGATTGGTGCTTAATTATTCATTCAATTAAATGATATTAATAATAAATGACCCATTTAGTTCTTGATTGTTAGCTTACGATCTTTTGCTGTAATACAAATTTTATCCCTCTCTTTGGCGTTTGGATGTGTTCCACAATTTCTATACTATTATTTCTATGACGTGACATTTAATTTTTTTTAGGTGTTTGCGAGTAAATCCCAAAGGCTTGGATGAAGAAAGCAAAGACTACCTTTCACTTTATTTACTCCTCGTCTCTTGTAATAAGAGTGAAGTTAGAGCCAAATTTAAATTTAGTATATTAAATGCCAAAAGAGAGGAGACGAAAGCCATGGAAAGTCAAAGAGCTTACCGATTTGTCCAGGGAAAGGATTGGGGATTTAAGAAGTTTATTCGTAGAGATTTTTTGTTAGATGAAGCCAACGGTCTACTTCCAGATGATAAATTAACCATATTTTGTGAGGTATGCATTTTTGAGTAAATTGTCGGTTTTCTTGTATTTTTGTTTTCAGGTTAGTGTAGTGGCAGATAGTGTAAATATATCGGGTCAGTCCAATACAATACAGTTCAAAGTTCCGGAATGTCGTTTATCTGATGATTTGGGACTATTGTTTGAAAACCAAAAATTTAGTGATGTAACTCTCTCGGTAGCGGGAAGGGAATTTCAAGCTCACAAAGCAATTTTAGCAGGTAACATTTCACAGATTTTCTTAATAACGAAGATGCAAAAAAAATATGTTGTAGCTCTGACACATTTAGATCCGTATCGATTATCATAATGAACTAATATAAAAAAATTACTTCCAGCTCGTAGTCCAGTTTTCCAAGCGATGTTCGAACATGAAATGGAAGAAAGAAAGCATAATCGTGTAGATATAACCGATGTAGATCACGAAGTATTAAGAGAAATGTTACGTTTTATATATACGGGAAAAGCATCCAATTTAGAAAAAATGGCAGACGATTTATTAGCTGCTGCAGATAAAGTAAGTCTGCATTTTTGAATTAATGCATTCTCATTTCTCTTGTAGTATGCATTAGAAAGGCTGAAAGTAATGTGCGAAGAAGCATTATGTACAAATTTGTCAATAGAAAATGCCGCAGAAATACTTATTCTTGCAGATTTACATAGTGCAGACCAGTTGAAAGCTCAAGCCATAGATTTTATTAATACGTGAGTATTACATTCATTTTGACTTCATGGAGAAGTCACGTTATAGTACCAATTACAATATTTCATTAAATAGGGATTGTAGACACTTAAAAATACATTAAGAATAAGGGGTAGGTAAATCAAGTAATAAATATTTTGGGTAAAGGTGTGACAATAAATCCGTTCGTCAATATTTAACATTGGCGATATATTGTTAGCTGTCGGCTGTGTAATCTTAACATAATTGCCCATTGGAAATGAGGTACAGTACATCCCCATGCAGACTTGATTAGTTAAAGTTGAGAATGAAAAACACACAATATAATGTCAAAGTGATAGTTTTTTTTTGTACAGTCGTACATTTCTTGGAGTACAATTTCTAATGACAATTGTTTTAGGCATGCCACAGATGTTATGGATACTCCCGGCTGGAAATCCATGATCCAAACTCATCCACATTTGATAGCGGAAGCATTTCGTGCTCTAGCGACACAACAAATACCCCCTATAGGACCACCACGGAAGCGTGTGAAACAAAGTTAACATCAATGTGTCGGTGGTATAGACTGCTGTTAATGTGTTCAAATAAGATACTAAAGAAACACTCGTTCAATCATATTTGATTGTACCCTAAATATTTGCTGATATTCTCAGTAGTAGAGTAAATAATAATATTTGAAAGTTGTTTGGCTCAGTGAAACGAAATTTGAAATTTTTGTACAGCTAAGATCATTTACTTGTATTTTATATTTATATTTATCCGACGTAAGAATATGGAAAATCACTGTGCCATTTAACAGAATTGTGATATGATTATCGATAGTTTGTTCCTACAATATAAATTTTTCAACCTGATACAAAATTAGTTTTTAGTTAGCGATCTCGTGTAATAATTCAACAAGTAATACAATAGTAGGGTTGATAGATTTCCTTTAAATAATCAATTTGTGTACATAATGTGTGTTAGACTAATATAGCTTAAATTATAATGGGAGTTTTGTGTTGTAATATGTGTGAATTTATACGAGAAGCACAATGAATGTATTGACAATGTGAAGCATAATTCGATTTCAAAATTTAATTTGTTTTATAATTTAAATTTTGACTAACGTGTATTTATTTAGCAAACGCATATGCTTCAACATAGATCATGTTCAGTAAGGGAGATAAATTGGCATTTCTAAAATAATTCCTTTGTTTATCCAATTTTGTCCTAAGATGTTATTTGATATTATCATTTCTTTCTGTACCATACTGTATACTACACTAAGGCTTTTGTAAGACGTGCAGCAGTATCGAAATTTACAATGAAGACGACACTACTAACCTGTACGTTACTGATTTGGCTGCAGTTTTTAGTGTAAATATTTATTTATCGATCGATTCGAAAAAAATTACTTGAATATTGCTCCTGAAGTGAAATACAATTTTAAATCATATTGATTGTTCTAAAGTGTTAAGAACTATGAATAAGTGTATGTGATGAAATGGTCTTTAGATGTAGTTTACGTCAAAAGCTAAGGTAAACTAAAATTATAACAAAGAACAAATTTTCCGACTATAAAAATCAGTTCTTTTATGTTTGCGGTTTCTTGCATTAGGGTAAAATCGATACGCAATAAATATTAGTTTATCTTAGGTGGCTACTCATTTATGGCTGTTTAAGAGTATTGTATATGCATTGTTCATAAAATGAATTGATTGTTAAAATGCAGATAGTACTTTCTTAAAAATAATAGACAATTTTATTAATTGTGTTTGTTTTTAAACAATTTCATGTGATTTGCAGTCAAGGTGAATGGAGCTAGTACCTATATACTTGGGGATGGTCATTATCTGAATAGGAAAGCTGTTTTGTCGAACCTATAAATTGACGCTAGCATGTGACTTGCTCAGCCTATCTATCTATTCACAGGGGAGCCGACCAGGCAGCACTTCGGCACACCAAAGGCCCATTGTACGATCATCGACAAAAATAATAATCGAGAACTTACTGCCCCTGCAACCAATCATACGCTATCACAAATGGCAACATGGAATTGCAAGTTTTGAGTGGGGCTTCATGTGGGATGGACACACGAACTTATAAATTAAGATGGATTGCTAATGCTGAATTGACAAATGACACCTACATGGGGGCAGCCATCATGGTCCGTATACTAAAGGTTGCCTCAGTCAATTGATTCTTTAGGAATTCCAGTGGAGCCTGTGATTCGACATTGTATTGATGTACTTGACAACATGCATTTATGCCATTACAACAGACAACTAATTTTGCTATAAAGTTCAATATTAATTTGTTGGCTGGTTTTTTTCTTGGTCAGTTCTTTTTTTCCCAGCCTATTGTTATATTTGTACTCGGTGAACTACCATTTTCTAAATTTAATCTTGCAATGCGAATGATTTGGATTAAATCTCCGTTTTTAAAGCATGTACTTGTTTTATTTGTATTCCTTACTTGATCCTCGCTCCGACAAGCAACACATATCTTGTAGCAACTCTTAAAACGCAACGTAGTAAGTCGTCCTGTTAATCGGTTATTCAGATTAGGTAGCTTTGTCAATAAATGTCTAGACGATCACGTCACACGTGCTATGGGGTTGAGTTAGTTTGGGATGGAATTTTAAATCTTGAGTTGCGCAGTCCCTTGGGGCTGGCCTGGGTACATTACAAAATGTTCAGTATAAAAATACGCGAATGACGTCACTCAGAATCCCATTTTGTCCAGATCATAAAAAGTAATTGTTAACGCAACAACAGTACAGGTTCAAAAAATGCAAAAATCCCGAGAGCTTTTTAGTCGCCCGAGAGTATACACATCAGTTTATGCCAGTGGTACATACAAAATTTTATGTCTTACAAATAGTTTTCTTCGTCAAAGTAAATATTCGTTTACAAAATAATTCATTATGTTTGATCATGATCAAGTATGCGTTGTTCGAATTTGTTAATGTGATTGAAACCATCCAAACGTAATTTTAAATAATTCAATTCATCGTAAATGAGGAAAAAGTTCCAGAAACTATACGAAATAAGGTCAATCTTGTGAATTAGTAGGTAATGACAATTAAAAATTGACGTTTCTAATTTTTAATGACCTGCAAATATGAGTTACTATGGTGGTACTTAATACCCATTACCCTAGGGCATAATGTGGTACTTTATGCCCGCGTATCACAGATATAAAATGTGCTATGATAGGTTAGTAAGACAAAATATATTTTCGGCAATTCCTGCTCCCTATTTCATCCTGCAGGAAAAATAAAAACATCCTCGGATAGACAATTAAGGGTGATATTCATCTGATGACTTACAAATGCGCAACTGTAGATACGAACAGAGTGGAGGCAGGTTTCTCGCTTACCGGTTATCAGCGCCGACTCGCGCTTCTCGCTTTGGAAATCATATAATGTTTTCAAATTAGCGTGTACGTAGTGAAAGCACATGTGTAGTCGTTTCACGGATTTGTTTGCCGGACATAGAATCACAAAATAGGAACTTCTTGAAAATATGTTTGGAAATGTAAGAAATCAAAATGGAAATGCGACTAATCCTACTCCAATTAAAAAAATATTTTGTTTAAATTACTTTTGAATATAATGCAGGCGCAAATTGTGCTAAAGATTTGAATGATCTTTTGGGTAACTTTTACAAGCAAAATTTCGGAACAACACCGAACTGATGGTGAAATCAGTTACCTTTTGGTGATATGTTAAAAGTGAAATTTGAAGACTACGGTGATATTAACATTCCAGAACAAAATGCGCATTTTTGGGGAACAATTTAAATGCTGGTAAAGATTGTAGTGCTTACTCCACCAACCAAGCAAACCTAACTACTATAATGAAATAATTTTATGCCACTTCCGAGCATATTCTGCCAAGGCAGGTGGCGTATTTGAAAGTTTCAGATATAATTTTGCCGAGAAACTGTAGGGAGATTGCACAACTGAATTTTAGGTCTTCAAAATTCCTTCAAGTTGCTAAGTACTGTAGCGTGGCAATTAATCGCTCTCTACTGGTAACTGCCTCATGTGGGTATCATTCCTCCCAATAGCTGGACGAACATGTTTTAATAAAGTTTCAATTGTCTCATTGTCCATGCGCAAAAAAATTGTGCAAATCATGAAACTCTCTCGTTTCCAATTCTCTAAGTAAACTCATATGAGAGTACTTTTTTCGTTTCAGGAACCACTGTTTTGACCACAGTCTCTTCCTTTTCGTATCTTCAAATAAAACTATATATCCTCCAATTATTGTCAGATTCTTCTTATGATCTATACCAATTACCACAGCATTCAAAACAACACGACCCAGGGGCTACTACTACAGAACTTAAATAGTGACAGAAAGCCGCCTGCTCGTCTAGTGAGATTTGTCCGTGATCTGTGTAAAGCCATATCCGCCTGTGTGTAGCTCAACGCGGATCTGTCCGTCGTACATATCCGCATGTGAATGGTACCCTTTAAGTTCTGAAAAACTATCAGCAGCAAAATATTGTTGCTAATGAAGCATAATCCACTCCAATGCGAAAGTTTCCATCATTATACAGTCAGCTGCGCCGCCTCTCGCAATATTGTGATGTTATTCAGGTCCTTCGCATAACGCTTCCATTATAATTGTTTGATTGATTGAGGGGACAAGATTGACCCATCCAAAATTGTTAGCTCACCGCTCGATATATATCAAGTAGGTAGGTACCTATATACAAACTACGTGTGACTGTGCGACTTCCCTAGAAAACCAATAATAGATAACGCGAGGAGCTAAGGAATGGTTGTGAAACGGTAGAAATGCAAAATAATTTTTTCAATTTTTGTATTGTACTGGCAGGTATAAAAAAATTCATATGTATTTGTCATTTGTCAATAGTTAATAAACAAAGTTTAATTCCGATTACAGGATGGCTTCCCACCCACTGTTATTTAACAACCACCTTACGTTATCACTCGATAGAGTATTATTAGTAGGTAGATAACTATAAACATCTCGATTTTGAGTGTTTGATTGAGTCGAACAGTCGTACCATTTTCAAGCGAGTGCCAAAGTTGAAGAGCATACTCCATATCGGGCAATTTCGATATCTAAAAACATATGCAAAGATTAATAAAAACCTTTGAGATTAAGTATTTAAAAATTAACAAAGAGAAAATAAAAGTACATATACAGTGTGGCCCAGATCACGTGGGATTGCATGGGTAACTTTCTTATTATTAAAGATAGAGAATTGGTTAAATGGGAAATGTTTTGCAGATTTAGATGCTTATTTAAAATTTGCTTGTGGAAATTCAAAATGTCGCATAGGTTCGACGTAAATCCAAAAAAACTAAAATTGGGCATTTCCTTGAATGTCTTATATCATCGAAAGTATAAGAGATACTTATAGGTACAAAAAAGTTTTATATAAATGTTACTATCTTTGATACGCTTAATTTAGAATTGATGTAAAAAAAATCAAAATGGCTACTTTTGAGGAACATTTATACCAACTTCCTAAAGTTAAATGGGCGCCATATTGGATTTTTAGATTATTTGATAGTCACAGGACGCGCTTTCCCACTCCAATACATTGTCGAGGTCACAAAACAGTTGCACGCGCAACTGGTTTGGAACTGTGTTGCAGAACAGTCGCTCCGTGTGCGCTAGGGCTTATAGGACTAATGATAGCAAACGCATGTTTCCTCTGCGCTGACAACTCTTAACATTAAGTGATAAATTCGGGCGATTAACCTTCGAGGATACAAGGGCAGATTCACACTCCGTAGTGTGTTTTTTAGCGCATTTTCCAACGAAGTTTTTATTTATTAATATATTTTGTTGAAATTTTAATCACTGATACTTGTAGTAAAGGCAAATATATCGCATATAGTAAAAATCAGATGTGCGCATGCGCAGACAACACAATGCCAACTTTCTTATTTATGAAGATGTTTCTTTAAAATTTTAACCATATATGCCTCTAGTAATGAAAAACATAGCGTACATAGGTATGGTCTTTGGGGAAGTATTGATCAATTTATGGAAAATGCGCTGAAGTTACTCGCCTTAGGGCCAAAACCTTTTTACTTGTTTTTACTTTCATATGTATTAAACTACTGTGGACCATCTGCAAGTCCGCAGCGGATATTATGTTCTAAAATAGAGCGTGTGTTTGGGAAGGTTATTGAAGTCTAACCATAATTGTTTCCTTTTTTCATTCCTTTCACCACTTGGTAAAGCAAACAACCTCACACCTTTAACATTACTTTTTTACAACCTGAAACACAACAACCCGCTATTATATATTTGATTTATTAGGGAAAGAAAATTCATTGACATGATATCTCCAAACAGGTAGAACAATCCCCAACATCAAGGTTACTAGAATCTGGTAACTTCCGCCATTTTTTGACAAAAATCATGCGTTCTCTCTCTAAGACACGAGTGCAATGGATTTCGGTACTTTCTATATCTAGTGACTTTAGCCAAAGAGTATATAGGTGTTAAGTTGGTAATCTTTACTTAGCGCACCTGCTAATAGACTTGCGCAGTTAGTATGCGCTGTACAAGTTGTCGTTGTCGATATACAATAAATGTATGTGTCGTAGTGTTCTGATTTTGATCTTTTCCTCTTTACTTTCTCCCGCCGCTGTGCAAATATCAACAATAGGTATACTCTTTGCTTTAGCATACATCACAAAACGCATGGAACACGGAACAGATGACTGGGCAACCAACATTACATGCGACAAACTGGAGCCGTTCAGTTCTTAAACTGTTACCACTTACCAGCACCCTTCCTACCATGTTAATATTTCAAACTTATCGTCTTTGCTATACATCGCGTTGTGTTAAAAAATCACAATTTGGTGCGAATAATAAAAATAAAGACTAAAACGCCTTACAGACGGCACGATTTGTTGTACGACAAGTCGTAATTATTAATTTTAATTTGGCATAAATAATTGTAAAAATACATGATATTTTTGGTATTTGAGGGTGCCGCAATTGTTAATATTGAAAAAATATCAAAAATCTGTTACAAGAGAGAAAAAAGGTTTTTGAATACAACGTCGTAACATTCATGGTGTTTTCGAAAAAATCGATAAGAGCTGAACCGTAAATCCGTAAAAATTTAATTTCATGCGAGCGAGGCTTGTGTTTTGGGGGCCGGGGCACTTCGCCGAATGCCCACAACGCCGACACGATTTTTTGATGGTCCATATCGCCGACTAGGGACACTACGCCGACAGACACTTCGCTGACCGTCCCCACATCGCCAAGTGTACAGGGACACTAAGCCGAACGTGACCATAACGTCGAGTCATACAACAGTTCTTAATGAATCTGGCGGGTGTGCAACACCAAGCAGCTTTTGACGTTAGGTTATTGTAGGTTTAGATTTTAGAATATTTTTTTAACTCTTTTCGAACTACAAACTCATACGAAAATTCTTAATGAAACTGGACGGAGTGTGAAACAAAGCAGCTTTGGATATTAGGTAATTTGTAGTTTTATAGGACATTTTTTAAAACTTTTTTAAAATGCAAATTCATACAAATATTCTTAATGAACCTGGACAGAGTATGAGGGGCCTGGTTTTTCGAATAGTTGGCGTTGTGGTCACGTTCGGCTTAGTGTCCATTGCACACGGGTCGGTGATGTGGGCACGGTCGGCGTAGTGTCCTAGAACCGTGTTTTGTTTAATCAATATATGTTGTTGTTTATTTAGAAACAATACATAACACTTACTTCGTCCACATCTTTGGGCACACTGAAATCGTGCAATATTATTATAGGTCACACCATTACTACCACAAACCGGACTATACTGGGGGGCTACTGGACACCGCTCTTCACAAGCACTCGGTCTCGTTCGTGTAGCTGCTCCAGTTGTAGTACTAATAGGTCTTCTTGTGGGGGTAGCAACTAAAACATAGTCACAATTATTTTGTTAGGTAAATCTATATATTTCAAAATTACAGCTATTGTCTTGAGGCATTCTATTCTCATTAAAACCACTCCGTTGGACGACGCCGTCGAACGCATCATCATAGCCATGATCGTAATCGCTATAGTCAGAATATCCATGTGAATGGTGGTTATGGAAATGCCTTTGATTGTGGACGAAAGGTAGTATTGGAAACACTAAAAATGAAAAAACATTTAATATTCATAGTATGTATACCTAAGCGGGTACATTACAAGGTAAAAAAAGAGCAGAGATACTGACAGTATACCTACACTATTTGTGTAAATATATACCTACACCAGTTAAGTTGCAAATACCTTGCCAATCTTGGGATTCGATTTCCTATAGTAGGTGCTTGTGCTTAGTATGGAACCCCTCCCCCTTACTAACTTTGCTATTGTTTTACTCGGAAATGGAAACATATAATGTACCAAATGAGGCACTAATTAATTTTATACAACGGACGTTATACACTAGGTTAACGCATAGCATAGATTGGACATTTTCTCTATAGATAGTATTGCATTGTAACTGCTATGTGCTATTCAAGTTGGAAATGAGTTTACAATAGTACTAGGTATGTACCTATTATATACATATTGTTATGATAGCACGCATAATTTTAGTTTACAAGTTTAAAACTGAGTTGAAAACTATTATAATGTAAAATTGATTCGAAAAGAAGTAAGAAAGGAATTGAGTTTATTGAGTAGGTACATTTCCTTCATTGTAATCATTGAAGTCCCTAGAGCTATTCCCGTGTGATTAAAAGAGGGCAACCCTGATTTGAATTTGATTGTTTTTGTTATTAACGTTTTTAATTAAATCTCATTCTCCCCAATTTCCAGCGTTTTATTTATGTTGGCCCATCCTTAGGGTGGCAAACACACATCCTCGAGCAACTCGAGTTACTGGGGATGTAATCTTGGCGCTCAAGCAATATTACTAGACTTCTCTACCTTGGTATATAATGTACAGTACATACACTATTATTTTTCATTTGCCTATTATATGCCAATTATATCTGTTATATGAGAAATATAAAGCAGTCTATGACACCCGAGGGCATAATGGATTGTCATCTCATTATGCCCTCAAACTGGCTGTCAACTATATTGACGGAGTCATATATAAAAAAAGATGCTACTTGATTCGTATGAAGCACTTTAAAGTTGGCAAACAATAATAATTACATTAATTGTACCTATATTGGAAATTGCATTATTTGGAACGATGAAAAATAACATTTTGTATGGACCTCAGGCATTACTCGGGCGACTTACAATCCCTTGGGCCAGAGGCCCTCGGGCACTGTCGCCCTCGGCATAAATATCGCCCTTGATACATACATATAACTATTATTTCATACCATATCATTTTTGACTAGGATGTTGTAGGTACATGGTTGTACCAGAGACTTGTTATACCCGCATAACAGATTGCAATTTCACCAATTTTAAAATTTTAAAATAGTCATCTTACATATCTACCTAAAACTCAAGTGATCTGCTTAATACTCAAACCCCATACAAATTCCCATAAAACATTCCATAAAATTTTTAGAACTGCAGTTTAATTGGCATACGGTAGGCGTAAACAACATTAGTGTATAAACAAAAGCTTAATTTGTTCATTTTTATCCTGCACGACAACAATAACGCGTTGCAGTTTGTTCGACAGGATTGTTTATGTTTAATCGACGACGTGAGGTAAAAAAAAAGTTAACGCTGCATTTAGTGGGGTTAATTACATATCGGAATAGCAATAACGAATGGACTATATTACATCATACATCCACTTAAAAAGCAGAACACAACTCCGAATTCTACAACGAAATTCCTGCTTTGACGGCAAGAAACAACCTCGACTTCGCGCCACGGTCGACCTGCCGCATCCGCTGATCCGCATTCTGCCGTCTGCGTTCACTCCGAGTCCGACGACAGCGCTCGCCGCGTGCACTTCGGCTACCGTTTTGTATATATTGTATCTTTCCATAAAACGCAGCACCATTTTATTTAGCGTCGCCCGCTAAAGTGGTAAAACTGGTAAAAGCTTACGAGACTGGAAATGTTGCCTAGCAACATTAACCGACATCTATCTAAACATTCTGCAAGTAACCATCTAAACGTAGGTATATACCTATTGTAGTCTTAAGCAGGCCTTCCACGTGCATTCATTTCATCGAACTTTGAATTAACGCCATGTCTTCGAACTTGGACCAGAATGTTGAAACACCACAATTCCACGTTCGCACATGGTTCGTACAAACTTGGCGAACAATTAATACAGGTACGATTGTGCACGCGAAAACAACGATATGCGTTTTCGGTTCCTCATATACTACAATGCGTAAATCTATCTCACTTTTGTCTTAACTCCAGGAGCGACACGACAACCACATCCACGTGCGCGCCAAGCATCGCTCCGCGCCAAGAATTTAGGATTGGCAAAACTCTTCGCTCCGCACCAAGAACGATGCAAACTCTGCGCGATGACCACTTCCACGTTCGAACTTTGTCTGTTTGCAGGAGTGTACACTCCAAATTCGATGAAATGAATGCACGTGGAAGGCCTGCTATAGGGATCTCAATGTAAAATTCATAACATGCGTATTGGCTCCCCAAATTATTTTAGAGCAAAAATGTATTAAAGTTTTTTTTAGAAAATTTTTTTTACCTCAATCAACCGTATTAGGTTTCAATCAAAAATAAAACTGGCATCTTTTTCAATAATCTGCGATGCCATGGAATTTTCTAAAAGTAAAAGATATCCAGTTATCAATTAGCAGCAGTTCGAAATGGATTTTATGATCGACTTGGTTACTGTATTGCAGTTAATGGTGATTTATTCGAACATTTATTGTAAATTGTTATATTAGGAAACCGTTTTTAGTAATTTGGTCTTCTTTTATGTTGCATTCGCTGTTCTAAATATAATACTTTCTGATAGAATTTGATTTGTTTTATAGCAGATATTCCATGGCATGACGGATATTGGCGTAGTTTTTATATTATAAAACACCATGGCATAATTGAAAAAATGGGGGTTGTATTTTTCCAATTTTCCGTCTTTATTATGCAAAAAATTGAAAACTAATACGGTTGATTGGCGTAAAAACATTTTTTCTACAAAAAAACTTTACTACATTTTTGCTCTAAAATAATTTGGGGAGCCAATAATCGCATGTTATGAATTTTTCATTGAAATCCCTATGATGCGTTACGCAAGTCACCACCCTGTATATATTGACTTATTCAAACCATTTGAGCAGGTGGATCACAACATGGTGCTTAACAAATTGGGACAAAATTTGCTTCTCTACTTCGCTTCTTTGACTGTTTGAATCCCACCTTGTTTTTAATCTTCGTTAATGATTTGCCTTCTTCACTTTCTTGTAACACTATTGTTCGCCGACGATTTAAAGATTTTTACATCAATATGTGGTACCTATTTTATTGATGATGATTGCATTTACCTCCCAGCCCAAATAAATAGTAAATGGTGCCCTTTGCTTAAACATGCTCAAACGCAAAGCAGTTTTTCAACTTCTTTTGCATTCATACCAATAAAATGACATTCAGTTTACTTCTCTAAAGTTTAAGCAAAGAGCAAGTACTTAATAATTATTAGTTACTCTTTGGTTTAACTGTTATATACATCAGTCACGGATTTGGGTATTGTATTCCATCATAGACTTTCCTTTTCGGAATATACAGTGCTAAAATGGGGAACAAATTCATATAAAAATCAGATGTTTGGTTTTAAAAAAAAAGCTCGGACACGTCCTATCTATCATAATTTATCTTTGCGCATTTGCGTACTAAAGAGAAAATATACAGGGTGTGTCAACAAGTTGATTTTTTCAATGGAACAGTATTTTTTTAAATCAATTTTTGAATTATTTTTATTATGATTAGAATTTAACACAGAATTTGAAAATGGTTTTTAAATAACGTGGACGTTAACTAATTATTTTATTACGTAACATTACGGACTGCTCTAAAACTAATCTGTCATTATTAAGCAATATATTCATATCGATTTATTGTGTTGTGTTAGACAGAATAAACTATGAAAGCAAGCGTATGTATGTATTTTATTAAAATTCTGTGGCGACGAACGGGGATGGGGTGGAAAAGAATAAAAGTGTGGTTATGGTAATAATGGAGTCTCGTCCGGAAAATTTAAAATAATCCAACCATTATTGTTTATTGCTAATGTGCCAACATCATTCTCACCTTCCGGGGGATATGAACGGTGCCTAATAAAATTTAAGAGCACTTTCCCCCATCCCATTCGTTTACACAATCCAATCGCCACAATTGTTACAAAAATCAACAATATACATAAATTAGATATAAATAGTTCATTCGCTCTAGCCGCTAAAAATAATATACCTATCTACTTATTGCTTGGCGTGGCAAGGTTTATTTCCACAAACCACCCAGTAATCAATACTGAAGTTTTCTTTAAATAATAAATAAATACATAAAAATATGGCATGTGATGCAACCACGGTGTAAAATAAGAGATCTTTAGTACAAGCACAAAGTTAATCCAACGTATTGTCGGCAGGTGGCAGTTTGGGCTCAGTTATCACACTTCTTCTATTAAAATTGTATGGTGGTGATTCCTTACGAAAATCACGATCGCGTCCATTTGATTGAGAACGCAGGGAAGACCGAAAGATATACAAAGAAATCTTTTGAATTATAGAGGACCAAATTTCTCACAAGAAATTCAGTACATGTCTATTTTTCAACCGTTTAAGAATAATAAGTATTTAAGTGTATGTGTTTCCGTAATACGTTTAAATACATGGTTCGAACAAGTGGACCGGCGTCCGTTATAGCCTATACGTATTTTCATTCTTGCTTTTAAGATTGTTTTGCACCAATCTACATTATTGGTAATGACTGTACAAGACGCAAAAAAATTTGTTTTGTGCAAATAACAAATCATGTAATTTCCTATAAAAAAACGCGGTTGTTCAGGAATAATAAGAATTAAAAAGCCATTGAGGAGGATATTGCCGAAAAACATGCACAAATCATTCCTGAACGGTTATGCAGCCACGGAAATGTTTGTGTAAAATTTAAATTTAGTCTTTTTCGGTTTTCCCCGCTGTTTTAAATGATGTGCGATGGCGATTTTTATTTTTCTCTCTTACATTGCAGTCACCATGATACTGCTTCATAAATTAATTAGCAAATCGAACACCTCTCCAATTTTCCACCGTGCATTTGATTGTAACTATAGGTACGTATGAACTTGTTAATCTTAGTTGCTTCTAGGTTCTGAGTAGTACCAAAGATGAAGTGCAAACCCCATAGTGGATAAGGCTTATATCTAGAAACAGAATTTTCAGATACCTAAATAAACAGAAAATTCTAAAATATAGACATACGTTTGCCACACTTTTGTGCACATCTAAAACGGCCAGGGTTGCTATAAGTCATATCATCACTTCCACAAACAGGATTGTACTGAGGAGTTATTTGGCATCGTTGTTCGCAGGGGCTTGGCGTTGTTTCCATACCTGGCACGGCCAATGTAGTACGCCCTATAGTGTCTTGAAAAATGTTATTCCAATTAAAACCGGCCCGCTTGTTATTCCTTGTAAATTCATCGTCGTCGTCAAATATAATTGTGTCAGAGTCTGCTTGTAAGGCTTGAAGCAATGTATTGGATTGCCTTTGATTGTAAATTGAAGGTATAACTACAAGAAATATTGCAATAAGTTATTGATTATATAATAACGCGAGATTGTCAAAATTTGAATCAGGTGACTCGGTGACTGCCTAATAAAGAAGTTCACTTAGTCACTATGCAGCCGTCCCTAATTGAAAATTTTGCAAATCGCGTTAATTTTCCAATATAACAAAAGTGAAGTAGAAAGCTTCACTTACTCTGTAGTACAAAAAATCATTTAAATAACACAGTAGGTACACAATATTTTTGGGGTATGGCATGGCAAACTTTTAAAACTTCACCTTTAACCAACTCAACACACATTCAACAGGTGGATGTAACACTACTTATAGGTACAACAGTGAACAGATATCGACAAACCATCAATTCCGGAAGATGGTAAATGCGCATGTTTGGAATTATATTTCATCGTTTAATCGCGCTAAAACTAACGGTAGGTAGATCAGTTTTACTCAAATTTCATACTGGGCTGCAATAGCAGTTTTTGTTATAGGTAATCAAAGGTGTACCAAAATCTGCTATCCATTATACCAAAAGAGTATACCTACAACGAAATATACTCTTTGATTATACATTTATACGTACTCCAACTTAAGTATAATGCTGGTGGTGATCGTTGATGATTTTATTTGGTTTTTGTTTGCAGCAAAGCTGGGAAACACCAGGTTATGTTATATGTACGTATACGTACCGTATGTTCTATTTTGGTTGAGACTGCGGTGTATATTAGCCGTTTATGAAGATAGAGACTTACGGTTTTCGCGACCCACTTTTTTGGGAAACTTTTAATGACACAAACAGAATCAATCTAGCTACGTTTGTTTTTAAGATACAGGGCGAATACGAAAAGTTCGAACTTTTTGGAATGTTATCGTATCATATTACCCATGTAAGATAGAAAAATTATCAAAGTCCTCGTGTGAGATCGAAGGGACTTCAGCGCATTTTTGTGTGGCAGATCAGTATTCTATTAGCCACTTTTTACTCAACCATGAATAAAAGATCTTGTCGAAGGATACCACATTCCCTTTGACGGTACCCACTTCCGATGTCCCGTTCACCCGCAATTCGCGTTTGAAGATTTAACTCCACCATCAGTAAGATCGTGTTGGGGGCTACCACATTCCCTTTGACGGTACCCACTTCCGACGTCCCGTTCACCCGCAATTCGCGTTTGAAGATTTGACTCCACCATCAGTAAGATCATGTCGGAGGCTACCACTGTTGCAGATCATCATTTTAGCCTTGACTGTTAAATAATTGCATTTTTTATTAATTTTGTCAGCTGAAATATTTAACGTCAAATATTGAGCTTTTTTTTGAATATTGGTGAACTGGTTTTAAGGGCACCAAATTTAGTACGTGTTTTTTAGTAGTACAAGTTGTATTTTGAATTTGACATGTTGTAGAGAATAAATCTTCCCTTACTTTGACATGGTGAATATTAGTTTGGAGGATTAAATTATAAACAGTGCCACCTGAACCAACCAGTACCTAATCAAAACGACGACTGGTCGCGACTACGACCAACAACATTTTTATTCTTAAATTTGACATTCTAATAGTCATTTATGCCAAAGAAGAGTGAGCGGTTGAATAATGGGCGTCCACCACCTTACCTCGAGGAATTTGTTACTGGAAGTTTATCTGACGATTCAAACGACGACAAAGACTTGGATGTAACAATCAAAATGGAAGATTCTAGGGTTACATCACTTTTGGAAGGACTTACGAATCAGATTACATTGATGCAAGCACAGCTGATGCAAAATACAGAGGTACAGACAAGGATGGAAGAGAAGAATAATGAACTTCATCAGAAGCTGGAAGCTACAAATCGACAACTAGCTGAAGTTCAGCGAACGATGAAAATTGAAGTCCCTCCTACAACTCGATCATCAGCTATACTGAATAATACAGTCCCAGTAACATTACCTGCACAGCTTGATACGCCTTCGCCTTCGATAACTCCGACAAGAAATTCTACGCACCAACAGTCAACACCTTCATGTTCAATTCCTAGTTTTTCTGTTTACCCAAATAACCCTGTATATTGGCAACAGCATCCATCGTTACCTGTCAGAAAGTATTTAGTAGCATTGCCAAAGTTTGATGGAAATCCTTGTGACTGGCTGGTTTTCAATGCAGAGTATAAAAGAACTACGACAGAGTTTGCATATACTTCTTCAGAAAATACAACGAGACTAAACAGTAGTTTGCAAGGGAAAGCTCGTGAGCTTGTTCAGTGGTTATTAATTCACGACGACATGGCGGAGAAGATCATGGAGAGATTGTATAGCAGGTTTGGTCGACCAGAACTTTTAGTGGACGCACAAATTACTATGTTGAAGAACATTCCCGGAATCTGTGAAAATAATGTGGGACAGATTATTCCTTTTGCTGACAAAGTGATCAACTTTAGTCACTTTATGTTGACTTGTTCTAGTCAACATCAGCTTGCCAATCCCACACTGCTTAATGAGTTGATCTTAAAGCTCCCAATGAATATGAGAATTGCATGGGCCTCTCATATTAGCTCACTGACTGGTGTCCCGTCTATATTAGATTTTAGTAACTGGATTGAAGTTAAAGCCGACAACATAGCCAGAGTTCCTGTGTGCAATTCTTTGATTTCTCCGACAGAGAAAAAGACGACACCCAAGAAATATCAAATGCTTCACACTTCCAACGTTACAAGTAAGAAAGAAATGAACTGTGTCTTATGCGAAAAGAACCATTTCATCGCTAACTGCCCGGATTTTTTGAATAAATCTACAGATGATAAATGGAAGTTAGTAACAGAAAAGAAATTGTGTTTTTCTTGTTTGAAATTTGGACATTCTACTAGAATGTGCCGCATTAGAAAGTCTTGCAATAAGAATGGATGTAACAGAGTTCATCATCCTCAATTACACAGTGAATGTCAAGATAATAAATCTACGCCAACGGTTTTAAATATGGAAGTATCCTGTCATGCTGCGTTGAAAGCAAATGAATCCAAGGTGTTGTTTAAAGTAGTTCCAGTAAAATTATACAATAGAGGAGAAGTTGTTTCCACGTATGCATTGATTGATGAGGGATCAAGCGTAAGCCTTATCAAGAGAACCGTAGCTGTACGTTTGAAGTTGAAGGGACCTATGCGAAAGTTGAATCTCCAATGGTTCGGAGACCACTGTAGTTCTGAAGAAACTGAAATCGTTAAATTTAATATATCTGGAGTCCATAACAATGCCGAAGTGTTCGAGATGAGGAATGTGTGTACTGTAAACAATCTTTGTCTTCCAATGCAAACTGTAGACATGAATCAGCTTCATTCCAAATATGACAACTTACAAAATCTTCCTATTGCCAGCTATACTGACGCCCGACCAGAGCTATTAATAGGATTGGACTTTTGTCATTTGGGATTATCGAACAGAAAGATTCAACAAACATCAAATGGACCTATTGTTGCAGAAAGTCCTCTTGGTTGGATAATTTATGGAAGAACAGTTGACAATGAGATACAATCAAGTCCAGGAAGAATGTTTCATGTGAGAGGGTATTTTGACGACATACATGCTATTGTGAAAGAGTATTTTACCACTGAAAACTTTGGTGTTGAACTATCAACAACACCAAGAGAGTCTTCTGAAACGGTTCGAGCGCGTCAACTATTGGAATCAACAACAAAAAAGGTCAAAGGTCGTTATGAAAGTGGTCTATTATGGAAAAACGATGACATAGTTTTACCAGATAGTTACCCAATGGCAGTCAGTCGATTGAGAAATGTTGAAAACAAGATGAAAAAAGAACCTGTTTACGGTATGAAGTACAAGGAAACTATTGTCAGCTACGTGCAGAAAGGATATGCTCGTAAATTGTCATCTGAAGAGGTTGTTGAAATTACTCCACGGACTTGGTATTTACCACATTTCGGTGTACTGAATCCAAATAAGCCTGGAAAATTCAGACTTGTATTTGATGCCGCGGCTAAAGTTGGAGAAACATCCCTTAATTCATCATTGTTGACAGGTCCAGATCTAAATCAGCCACTCCTCACGGTTTTATCTAAATTTCGTGAAGGTCAAGTTGGGGTATGTGCTGACATCAAGGAGATGTTTCACCAGGTGATAATTCGTGAAGAAGACCAAAACTCTCAACGATTTTTATGGAGAAATGATAAAACTGGCGAAATTGAGGTATATAAGATGTTAGTTATGATATTTGGATCCACATCTTCACCGACAACAGCTCAATATGTCAAAAACTTTCATGCAACACAGTATCTAGAAAGTCATCACGAAGCGGCCAAAGCAATTATTGAACGACATTACGTTGACGATTACGTTAATAGCTTTCACACCGATGAACAGGCAATAACTGTATCCATGATGGTTAAAAATATTGAGATGGCTGGTGGTTTTGAATTACGAGGTTTTATATCAAATTCAAGAAAGGTTACTTCGATCTTGAATCAGGAACAAGGTGATCAACTATATCAAGTGGATATGAACTTGGACAAATCCCCTACATGTGATAAGATACTGGGCATGGTATGGGACACATCCACTGACGAGTTCAAATTCAACTTGAAGTTTAATCGTTTAGAATCGACAGTAATCACTTGTGAAAGAATTCCAACAAAGAGAGAATTTTTAGCGATTGTCATGTCAGTATATGATCCGTTCGGATTCTTAGCGGATTTTCTTGTATACATGAAGGTACTCTTGCAACTTGTATGGAGGTCTGGTGTAGAATGGGATCAACCAATTCCTACACATCTTTACGAGCGATGGTGTGCATGGAGTCGAGAATTAACAAAGGTTAGCCAATTTCGTATTACACGTTGTTACTCAAAGGGACTGCGGATGCCAAAAGCTGTTGAACTTCACATATTTGTAGATGCGAGTGAAGTCGCTTTTTCAGCAGTGTGCTACCTTCGAGTTACTTCGCAAGATGAAGTTACAGTATCATTCGTCATGGGGAAAACTAAATGCGCACCTGTCAAATACCTTTCCATCCCAA